CATTCTGAGATTCGATAATGCGGTGTTGGTAAGCCTGTCAGTTTTCGTAAATAATTTCAGTGTTGTATTCTTTATGTATTTTTTGATCGGACCAATCTTGAGGTCCCTGAAGATGTCATTTGTCCTAACGTACGTCTCTCTCAGAGCCTATCTTTGTGCAATTCCTAGGTTTGCATAATGCAACAACAGTATTTGCATTCGGAGTTATATCGTAACAGGTCCTTGTCTGAAATGTGAGCATACACTCTGCTCCATGTGACCATATGAGTTCATTGGATCGCTTTCTAGACCCGATTTTGTCATTGCTCGTATGTCACTCATATTAAAATCTGATTTAATGTGATAAATCCTTGTCTTTATTTGAGAGTGCTTTCAAAACTTCAGCACTGGTTGAATGAACCTACAAGAATCAGATTCCTGTGTTATTTCGAGGGATGTAGTGTTTATCGATGCAGTTGATTTATAGTATATTTTCAATGCTTTTCATTAAGTCTAGAAAAATTATTTGTATTTTTTTTGTATGGCGTTTGAAATATACAAATTTAAATGTTGATATTTTTCTAAATATTCTGTGAAGGCAAATAAAAATAAAGTCAGTCTATGAGTGCTTGGCATTTAACCTTGATTAAATTCCTTCTGCCCAAGGATGCGTGTGTATAACATATCCTTTTTTTTTAATAAAATTGTTTTCAGTAAATTTTTTGTTGCCATCTTAATATCAACAGTATTTCATACCAACAAAATAATACATATTATGCTATTCCCTTTTTATTTGGATTGTGTTTCGAAAAACAAACTCTTCATTTAAACAAACACAAAAAGTATCTTAATTTATATGGCATGGCATGTCTTCATATGGATGCAGTTTTTTGTGTGAAATTCCGTTTTTTGTTCAGATTTCACTGAAGTTGAACAAAGTTGAGTTTTGATTGAAAGTAGCAAAAAAGATATTTTATTAAAATTCGTTTGACAAGAGAGAAAGTTTGTGGCAGACATGCTTGATATGCCAAATTGATGAATAATGTTGTCTAGCCCTAATTGTAGGTTAGATGAACGAATTTGTGTTGATTTCAGTGCATGCAGTGAAGAAAAAGCTTGCAGCAATTTTCAGTTTCAGTTACTCCGTGCTTAAAAGTCAACCTATTAATTCAGGATACAAATACTTATGAACTCTGGAATCAACAAGTTCAAAATTCGTACTTACACACTCATTTAAATGCAAATATTGGAAAGTTTTTGTTTATAAACTCGAATATCCGTGGAATTATTGTGTCTGGCAAACATTTTGGGAGCAGAGCGAACATTGAACTTAAAGTCTCTAAAATTAGAAGACTTCATTTTATATATTGATTAGTTTATATAATGGCAAGAATTTAGTCAAATTACTTCATTTTACTCAGATAAAAAGCTATGTATCTTACACTCTGTTCATTAGGCAGATACGTACGTGATAATGTTACTTTCACATAACAGTTTCGAGGGTTTCGTTTTAAACTGAAACAGCGAATGCCTGGTGAGTTTTCATCAATGGCAGCAAATGGAAATACTTCAAGGCAAATGGGCAGTGCAACCGACAACCGACGTTTGCCAGTAATTCTGCTGTGCGGTGTGCCGTATCAGTTGAGTTTATGCGTTTTCAATGTTTCGGATGAACAACTGTCCACTTGATGGTACTTTTTGAAATTTCATGTCGAGTAGAGTGACAACCTATTGTATCGGATACGCTGCATACCGACCATTTCAATCAAACTTCGCAAAACGGCATATGGTGACAGGATGGCGTGACTTCAAAGATGGCAGCAGACAGATTTGATCTTTTTTCACAAAGATTTTTTCTGTTCTCAAAACAAAGAACAACGAAACCGTAATAAAAATATTGTTCTATTTTGGCAAGAATAAAAGTAAAATGCTGTTCAAGCTTTAAATGACGGCTTTGTTGTTTTGGATTAACTGCACTTTGACCGCTTCAATAGAATTACGTCCGCTAGAGTTTAATTCATTATAAAAAATATTAAATTTGTACTTGCAACGTTATTGGGACCACTTAAAAGGTCTTCCAGAATTGTTTGAAAGTTTCGTATAATTTTTTTTTATTAATTTTGACATTTTCCATTTCTCAAAAATGAGTTGAAAGAGTTTAGCTTTCATCAAAATTTAATGTTTAAAAAAATAATCATTTTTTATTAGCTTCATGACAACAACCAAAAAGAGAAAGAAAATACATAAAATAAAACAATAATCAAATTTAAATTTTATTACTGGATGAAGCTCTTTGAACCCTTTTATCTACAAATAATTAAATTATTGCGGTAGACTTTTAACTTTTAAACGCGGTCTATTTTTTAAATAATTAATTTGGCTATAATTTGGGATTTCTATAATTTTAACAACTCAAAATTTCTGACCTTGTAGCGAAATTAGTGGGGCATAAGTCGTTTATGACATTTATTGATGAATTAATAAATATTAGAAGAAAAAATTGCTACAACTATAAGTTACATTCTGGCTTCCATTCGAAAGGCGGAATGTCTTCTGTATGGTTAGGGTCTGTTGCCACGGTCGCAGTGCTTTGCTCCGTTGGGAGCTGGTACCCCATTTACTCGTATTCCTATTCCTAGTTACAGTTTGGTATTGTGATCACTAAATTATTGAGCTTCTCAATTTTCATCAACTAATGTCTATCAAATAAAAAAGAATAATAAGTCTTAGTTGTTTTATGTGGTTACCTGGTATGTGGGCTTAACAGTACGGTATTCTAAACATATGTTTCAAGATAATGCACCAATAAAAGCTTTATTAGTATAAATTCTGTCAGTACTAATTAAAATTATTTGTTTGGAAATAACTATCTAGTTGATGAGGAACGCGGCTCATCTAAACATCTGCTGTTGAAAGGGTCGCAGTATCAGATTGAGAGATGCAACAACTCTAACCTGAGTAAGTTTAAGAGTTAACTACAGCCCTCATGCCATGTTTGAATGGTAACACCTCATGTTTCTAAAAATTGTAGCAATTTTTCGAATAAAGCTTATAGTACTACAATTTTTAATTGGTTTTTTTTTAATATATAAGTAGGTGAAATATAAACACGTTGCGTTGTATGTGTGTTAGGTTAGGTTATACCGACGGTCCCTGGTGGATTCACTTAGGCCTATTGGCCCATTGTGTTACCGCATGTGTAGGAAAAACTCGGGGTTTAAAACTACCTAGAACCCTTGGCGAAGCTTAAAACGCTATATAGAGTCAGGTCTTGCAATTTATCAAGATCCTCAAGAAAGGGGGCTACCAAAGTGTTGAGTCGCTGTCGTATGTGTTTAATATGGAGCGTAAGGTAAACTGACCTGTAAAGGATTTAATTAGTGTTACAAAGAGTAGCTATACAATTTTTGTTAATTTAAAAGTATTGTCAACGTTTTTGCTAGTAATTTTTAACATTTAATATGAGTAAATAAAGCAAAACCAAACTTTTATTGATATCGGATTTTGAAGGAAGTAAATTTAATTAATCCTTTTTGCTTATTTGATTTACGAAATTAAAAATTAAATCTGTTTGGGTTGCACAACTGCTTAGTTCTCATTTCAATTAAAGTTTCATTCAATTATAAACTGACTAATTGTTTAATTATTAAAAAGCAATTTGTCAATTTTACTTTGCACTTGAACTATTGGCATATAAAAGTGAATCCATTGCGAAGCCTCTTTCAGAAGTGAATAAATCCTTAATTGATGGCCACTAAAATGCCACATTTACGCAGTTATCATGAATTCATTGATTTACCCATCATTTTCTATAAAACAATAGGCGAAGAGATTTATGCGCATCGTTCCACCAATAAACAACTAAGCTTGCTGTACGTGATTTACTTTTATGTTGGTTTCATCAACTTCAATCTCTTGTCATTAGCTGAAGGTGTGTACTTCGTAAATGGATTAAAAGATCCAGCAACACAAATGGTTGCCTTTGGCGTTGCACCTTGCATCGGCTTCTCGTTCATGGTGGACTTCAAGCAAGGAGCACTGGCGGTGCATAAAAAGATACTTCGCAAACTTTTGGATGAACTGGAAGCCATATTTCCTTCAACTACAGCGAAGCAAGAGGAGTACAAATTACATTATCATGAACGACTCATGCGGCGTATAATGATTGTTTTTTCCATGCTGTGTCTGGCGTACACGTCCACTTTCAGTTTTTATCCGCTTTTCAAGTCCGTTGTAAGGTACATACTAGGCATGGGCTTCGAGCGAAAATTGGGCTTCTACACGTGGTATCCGTTTAATACAACCGAAGATCTAACCATTTTTTGGTTGACATACTTGACGCAAATTCATGGCGCCTACTTGGCTGGTGCGGCCTTTCTCTCACTTGATTTATTGCTTATTGCATCTGTTACGCAGCTGTGTATGCACTTCGACAACATATCAAAATGTTTGGAAGAGTTTGTGGGTGCTGGCAAAAGCGATAATGAGCACATAAAGTTTTTGCAGGAAATTGTACAACGGCATGCCAAGTGCTTGGAGTGAGTATCTGAGCTGTACTGTGATGTGCTTTTATACTGTGTCGTGGTTCCGTTGTATGTAATTTTAAAACGTTTTGTAGGTTAACCGAACAAGTTAATAGCATTTTCAATTTCTCGTTGCTGTTGAATTTTCTTACTGCATCTCTGACAATTTGCTTTATTGGCTTTCAATTGACCAATTCCACTTGGGAGGATATTTTCAAATATGTGATATTTTTGAGTGCATCACTGTTACAAGTTTTCGTTGTGTGCTATTGTGGAGATGGATTGATATCCTCGGTAGTTAGAGTTTTGTGTTGGTTCAAATTTTCAAATATAGAAGTTCTACAAATTTATTTTAGAGTCAACGTGTCGGCGATGCTGCTTATAATCAAGACTGGGTTAATTGCAGTGTCAAATATAAACGTATGCTAGTCTATCTCATTGAACGGAGTCAAAAACCAGCCTCCATACGTGCACCAACTTTTCCACCTATATCCTTTAATACGTATATGAAGGTAAGCAAAATATTTTTTAATAATATTTAGAATATACAATAAAACTCAAACCATTTTCTTTTGTTTTTTGTTTATAGGTTATAAGTATGTCGTACCAATTCTTCGCCTTGTTGAGGACAACTTATGGTAATTAGTTATTCTTTGGAATAAGTCTAAATGATCTATGTCGAAACAAATGTTATCAAAATTAATTCAAACCTTTTTTTGATTTCGAAGAATTCTATGTGTTTATTAAAAGAATAAAGACTTTGTTTAAGTTATAGCATTGAGTATCAACTAAGTGCCAGATTTCATCAATAACTTATATCTAAAATATTTAAATCCCTCTCATTATATAAATTATCCACATTATAACTTTCTGCGAAAATAGCATTGTTTATCGCAGTTACTAATAGTATTTGCACTATCAAAGTTCAAAAGTTACTATACTCACCTTCAACCTATATTTACTTGGATTAACTGGTATAATGTCAATAAATATCATAAAATATTGCTTTCTAAGAACAACACTTAATTTGTTTTAATAATTAACTAACTGAAGTTGTTGTCTGTGCTATTTGAACTATTTGAACTAAAATCCTTAGGAAATATTTTACGAGTTTATGTAGTGCGTAGTTGAGAATGATTTTCTGCAAAATAAATTATTTAATTAATTGAAAGTACTACGGCTACTTTTATTCATAAGCCACAAAGTTATACATTTACCCAAAAAGTAAGTTTATTCAACTTTCCTAGTTGTATTTCTATGCCATTCATACCAAATTAATTGGCTTTTTCATGCAGTGCAATGACTTCAGTTGAAATGATGTCAGTCGTAATAAGATAGGGTACTCAAAAAATCACTAAAAACTCATGTATTTACACGAGTACGTTCAAGTATCCTTTCGGTAGACACAAATTAATCAGTGCTAAATTAGCTGCAATTACACTTGTGCTCCAAGTGGCAAGTTCAACAGCATCAAGAACCTCATTGAATGTGGCAGTAAATTAGTAAGAAAAAATGCATTTAAGGATCATGTTTCGAATTTATCTCAAAACTCATTATCATTTCATTATAAACACGTATTCATTTGCTCACACAAAAAAGCTTCCAAGTTTTTATGAAGTAGCATACAAAAATAACCACCAGAGGATAAGAAATGCCACCAGAGGATAAAATGGTTAAAAAAGTGGAATAATAAATTTTGGAAATAATTTAGAAAAAATCTGAAAATGAAATTAATATGAATAATATTTTTAAGGACTCAAAGTGATTTGAATACACGTGTCGAATATTTAGGACTATTTTTTGTTAACAACTTTTAGATATTATTAATATTAACAGATTTTAATTTTAATTAAATTAAATTTTTTAACTTACCATTAAAATGAGAACGCGACTTAAAGAACTTATGAAAGGCGTAGACGTGCCCATACTTTCAATAGCTTTGAATATTTTATGACTTCTAGGCCATAATCATTACAGTTCAACAAACATAGTCATTAAAAAAAATTATCATGCAAATATATTAAAACTCTCTCTCCAGAACTATAAACACAACATGCAACAACAAAATAAATAAAAAACACTCAGCAAAAAAAAAAAACTCAGCATCCGCAATAACAGGTCAATGGTCCACGAATCTCAAAAGCGGATGATTGTAAACAAAATGCGCATTGGTACTAACGGAAGCGGAAGTAGAGAAAAATTTTCTGTGCCATAGCTCTGTGTACGTCTTAAGCTTACATAGTTACTACATTGTGTATATTGTGTATTTAAATATGCACACATGCACACGCCAAACATGCCCTGGTATATATAAAAAGTAATGCCTACATTCACACATCATTAAATGTAAATTACGCAAAAATGAAGTAGAAAAAAATGGCAAACGTAAATTTACTTAAAAGTGCAAAACACTAAAGGAAACGAAGTAGGGAAACCAAAACAAATACCTATAGTCGGTCAAAACAACTACAATATGCGACTATTCATATATGGATTGGTAAAGGGGGTGGCATGAATTTAACTAGCAAAAAAATTGAATTTTGAACATTTTAAAAGAAGACAAGAAGTACCAATAGGAAATTACATTTCTTTTAAAAAACCTTTGCTGATAACAAGTGGACAAACTACAAGCTATTTATCTATAAAAATAGTTAAATTTGATACAAGGACCATTTTTAACCAACTCACGGACCACCTGTTGGAAACCACCAAGTGATATCAGCATACCATTAATATTGCGGAAACTGTACAGATGAGAAAGAAGAAGAAACAATGAAAGAGTTCTTCTCCAGCTGCCTTCTTAAGTTATTATGTTCTAATGCCTCTAACAAAAGTACTCAGACTTCAAAATGATTCCAAAAATAACAAGCAGTTAAGATGTCGTGTTAAATAGTTGTATCGCAATCTACATATAGGGGGTCTGAGCGAGTGGACTAACTTGATAGACTGCTACAAACGCGTAACTTAAACACACTTATTATAAATTTCACTTCCTTATACCTCAGTTTTAAAGTCCGCTATCTGCGTTCAAAACTGAGAAGTAAGGGAGGGCAAAGACAGAGTAAACTTATACTTAGTGTCAACTTTGGCTTGAATAAAAAGTAATACGAATAACACGCTGATTTGGTTAATTAGTGCTTACAGTATAGAGTAGCCTAAGTGTATTTCCATCGATTTGTTGCCAACTACTCGCTACCAAGTGATTGTTTGGCTTTTTATGCAGACATCATGGTTAAATCCAGTCCGCTTAGTTAAGGAACCTATAAAGTTTTGTTTCAGTTTATTAAAGAAAGGGTCATCTAAGGTAACTACAGATAAGTGATGTTAGAATTTATGATTTCAAATAATATGCAATCGCATTATTCAACTACATACTGACTTAAACAACAACAGTAGATTGTTTAGATTGTTCTTGCTCCTTAACAAGGATGAATTTAACGACGAAACCTTTGGAATTCTATATAGACTATTTTGACTATTTATTAGAGCGTTATATTGACATGCGTTTAGTAACAATAAATAGTTTTACGTGTTTACTAGTCATGAAGTAACCATGAAGTAAAACAAGTACGGGCTCGTCTAAGGCAATTGTCTTCTGTCTCCAAAATGTGAGGCTAGCACAGAAAACATGTAAAAAAATGACATACTAAATAACGTCTGAAGACTATTTATTTTAAAACTGTGTTGGTATTTCTAATAAACCATTTCTTGTTTAAAAAATACTTGATGGTTTTGTGTAAGTTTATAATACACAACATTAAACTGTCTTTAAATTTACTATAATCCTTACGGACTTTAATTACTTTCTTTCAATGTAGTGTAAAAATTAAAATCTTTTGAGTTTTACTATTTCATAGCACTTCACATACCCACGCACATACACACACACATTTCGAAAGAAGCGTGAAGGAAATGATTTACCACGTCGCGTATGTATAAACGCAAGCGAAACGAAGGCGAATATGACACAATTTTTACTACGCAATTACACATCGCACCACACACCACACACCATACACAACACACATACATCAACGCATGCATTTGCTATGTTGGTCGGAGACTGTTTACGCTGTTCTGGCTGTTGACCAGGTTTTGCAGTTTTTATGATGATTTCCTTTTGTGTGTTATTTTAATTTTGTACATTAGAAACTCTTCGCATAAACACACCAGACACTAACACATACACTATTCTGTGTTAGTGCGCACACATACAAACAAAGATATTAGCACTTGTATGTTGGCATTTTTTGTTATTGCCGTCAAGAGCGGATGTTGCCGCTTCTAACTTCAGGCATTTTTTGTTTTTGTGCTATTTTAATTTTATTTTTATTTTACACTTAAAATTCTTTTAATTATACAGTTTCTCTTTTCCTTCCAGCCATTAAAAAAATTATTGTTTTCTGTTGCTTTAGAGTAGAATAAAAAACAAGAAATTGGTATAAAAAATGGGAGTTTAAATATTTCTGTTAAAAAGTTTACAGGTAAAAATTTCTTAAATAATTTACATAAAATATAATTTAAATTGATTGAAATGAAGATTATTAAGATAAATTATGTATTCTGTGTAAAAAAATAAAAAATAATTTAAGAGCAATGAAATTGTCTGTGATCAGTGGCGTAACTACATTTTTTAGGCCCATAAGCGAATTATTATTAAGGAGGCTCCTACTAATATCTTTTTATACCCTTTACACGAAAAAGTGTAAAAAAGGTATATTAGGCTTGTGAAGATTTTCGTATCGTCTGTTTGAAGTCTGTTTCAGTATCTGCACAATGTGTCAATTTATTCTGTGTATCACAATTAGTAAAGGCATCATTTAAATCGTTTACTCCTTCACTTTTGTTTTCATTTATTTTTAGAAAATTGTCTAGTTTTGGTAATTTCTTTAATGTTAATAATGAATGCATAAATTTATAATGGGGCCCCCTATGTTCGGGGGCCCGAAAGCGTTGCTTCCAGTCGCTTCCCTGTAGTTACGCCACTGTCTGTGATTATACTTTTTGAAAGGAAAGGAAAGTGTAAGAGTTCTGCATCAATACTGGTTGGCATGAAGCACTCAACACATGAATTTATTGCATTCAGTGCATTTGTGCAAGAAGAATATTTTTTGTAAAAAAAACTTCAGGATATTTGAAAAATTTAAAAAAAAACTCTCATTGAGAAAACAACTAACAGACTTTGTTATAACATTTAACTAATATACAAAAACAAGTATTAAAAAAATTTTATAAAAGTAATACTAAGTTTATCAAGACGATTGTAACCCAATAAAGGCGTCTGAGTCTGAGAACATATAAGACATATAAGGGCGATTCATTTCGCAGTGACCTCAAAACTAGTGTGGGAACAGGGTTCACTTAATATGAATTCCAGAGCACAGAGGATTTGAGGGAAACGAGAAAGCCGATGAACTAGCCAGAAAAGGGGCGGTCTCATAATGTATTGGGCCACAACCATTCTGCGGTTCTTCATGGAACTTTTTCTAGCTTAAAATTAATGAGTGGCTGGAAGGAGCAGCTCAGACTGATTGGGATAATACAATTGCCTGCAGATAAGCTAAAGAATTTATGCCGAATCGATCAAAAGTCAGAACTAATGAGCTACTAATGCTGATGCTACTAATGTAGCATCTGACTTGTGATATAGTTTTTGACTAATCATTGCGGAGTCAAAAAGCAGCTGTTGAATCTAGGTAT